GCGATTGCCTCCAACCTAATAATTAGCGATGGCCTCCAACCGAATAAGTAGCGATGGCCTCCAACCGAATACTTAGCGATGGTATCCAACCGAATAATGGCCTCCAACCGAAAATTTAGTGATGGCCTCCAACCGAATAATTAGCGATGGCCTCCAACCGAATAGTTATAGCGATGGCCTCCAACCGAATAATTAGGGATGGCCTCAAACCTAATGATTAGTGATGGCCTCCAACCGAATAATCAGCGATGGCTTGCAACCTAATAATTAGCGATGGCCTCGAACCGAATAATTAGCGATGGCCTCCAACCGAATAATTAGCGATGGCCTCCAACTTAATAGCGATGGCCTCCAACTTAATAGTGATGGCCTCCAACCCAATAGTTAGCGTTGTCCTGCCTCCAACCGAATAGTTATAGCGATGGCCTCCAACCGAATAATTAGCGATGGCCTCCAACCTAATAATTAGTGATGGCCTCCAACCGAATATATAGCGATGACCTCGAACCGAATAATTAGCAATGGCCTCCAACCGAATAATTAGCGATGGCCTCCAACCTAATAGCGATGGCCTCCAACTTACTAGTGATGGCCTCCAACCCAATAGTTAGCGTTGGCCTCTAACCTGTAGCAATGGCCTCCAACCTTCTTCACAACCCATTTCTGAGTCAAACTCTTGATCGCTAATGCCAGTCAGGCAACTGGTCAGGCGGCTGCAGCACCAGACCCACAAGATCTGGAAGCAGAGGCTCTGTCCTTGGGCCAGGAGTGCTGGGCTTTCCTAACGGCCCGGCTTGGGCATTCATGCCTGGGAAGTGCGCACTGATTCTGTATATGCTGCTTGCATCAATTGCATTATGATCGCAATGTATAATGTGATGGAATCATACAGCTTTGCTTGGTAATTTATGATTGTGTTTAGACTCGGGAAAAGCACGGGACATCTTGTGGCTTTCAACTGCTTTCAGCACATTTGGGAAGGGAGCAGAGGGGGCACTCTGTCTAGCCAAACTGATTTCATGGTTCCTCAAATCTGATGGTAAGGTCAACCCCGCAAAACTCCTACTGGGTTCACTCCTGCCAATGGGATGTTGTATTGAACTTGCCAGTGCGGAGATTTGTGTCCGCAGTATTCTAGCACAAACCTTCTAAAGTGGCGTGTGATGTACCTGGGGAGCAGCGATTTACAACATGTCATTAGACAGTTTGATTCATGTTAGATACCCATTTGCAGTGTCCACTTCCCGGGCTCAGCTGCACTTTGAGTCCCCTGTCATCGGTTGCAACGCATGAGTTGTCACCCATCTCGAAGTTCGATGTTCGCCACTGTAACTTGTCAGTTATTCCTGTTTGAAACTATGCCTTTTCAACAAGAAACCCATTTCACGTCTCACGTGTACTCTTGCAGTCACCCGTGTCCGTTTTCGCATTCCAAGTCTGGTGCATGTTCCGGTCTTTGTACGCCATGGCGAAGCCCAAGCTCACGTACTTGGATGTGAAGGGCTTTGGTGAAGGCATCCGGCTCACGCTCTACGTCGGGAAAATCGACTTTATCGATCACCGGGTGAGCTATGAAGGCGTCAAGGAGTTGAACGACCAAGGCAGGGCGAGGATGTTGGCAGATTGATCTCGTGATCTGAGGATGTGGTTAGGTGAGAGTCGGCATGTCCCACAGCGATGTTTGATTGGCATGTGGCAGACTCAGTCAGAACCAGAATGAATATGAACAACAAGACGTGGAAGGATACGATATGAGTTTCTATGATAGTATTCAAGACTTGTCATTGATACGTTACGAACGTAACATCTTGCAGATGCTCACCTTCCCATGCCCGCTGAGTGACCGCTTTAGACGCTCTTTTTCCCATGCTGATGCGGAGGCAAACTACCTTATGGCCAAGTGCCCATCCTTGAGGTGGACGGGGAGATCTTCTCACAATCTGTGGCGATCTTGCGCTGGGCTGGGCGACGAGCTGGATTATATCCCACAGAAACTATGCAGCAGCTGGGGTGGAAGAGTGGCATATGTTTGGAATATGTATATAACTATGTATGCCTTGATCTTCCAACGACAAAAAAACTAGTAGTTTAAGTGAAGAGCTATTTGAGTCGGAGAACAAGATAACTGGCAAATTGGCCATTAGCGGTTGTTCATGTTTGTGTGTGGATGTTCACGCAAAGAAGGTTTTCCTCAGAGTCACCTTTTATTGTCCAGGAATTCTTGAAAGGGGCCTTTAGCTCCCACTCGATCTCCCTCTTCAGGCAACTTCGCTGCGACTCCATTGAGGAAGCGTTGACCGACATTAAGAAGCTCTTTCCTCCAGTGTGGTATGGATCCATTTTGGGACGAAATCCCATTACCAAGGGACCGATGGTACCAATCCCGGAACCGATGCGTGACGAGGTGCTGAAGGGTTTAAACGAGACTGTTCTCCCAGCCCGCTTTGCTCAACTTGAGCGGGCCTTGAAAAAGTCTGGTGGACCGTACTTTTGCGGTGAAGACATGATGTCGTGTGACATCAGCTTCTACGTGGCTCGGTTGCACCAGACATTGGTGCACTCTTGGAAGCAGAGGTCAAGTGCAGAAAGATAGACGCCCACATTGACATAACGAGGCCTTTGTTCTTGTTTATAGTATATTATATGTTCTTATTGGAGAAGTTAATCAAGTATGCTCGCACCCAGTATTGTACCAAAAGTGCAGTCGTGGCCACAACCCAGTGTCAATTTGCTTGTTGCAAACTCCCAGGTCATGGGAAGTGGACTTCTCTCTGACAATTATGCTGAGGGTGTCAAAGCAAGTGTTCTCGATGATTGTCCTTTATTGACCGCATTGATCGAGCGTGTGGACAATCATCCAAGGGTAAAGGAATGGAATGAGGCACACGACCACCAACCTTTGCCCAAGAAGCGCAAAACCTAGTGTAGCCAACCTGTGTAGTTCGGATACTTCAGACCAATTTTTGGGACGTGTCCAGCGCTGTGCCAAAGTCTGTGCGCCCATCGCCATCCTATGTCCACCAATTGGATTGGAAGTATGATTTCCGACTGGCCAGCTAAAAGCAGTGTTGGCCTTTAAGTGTCCAACTCCCGCACGCCCTTTGAGAACCTACCGAGCTTCAGCAATGGACGCGGAAAAGAGCTTGCACCACCGCAGAGTTGCTATGCCGGTGGAGTTGGCTTAGACATGCTTAGACCATTAGACCGATAGGCCTCTCTCTTTCTCCAGCTTCTTTGGCACAGGCGGCAGCTCCACTACTAGATACGGAGGTGTGACCGTGTGAGCGCGTGAACCGTGTAGATTGCAGGGGCCTCTTATCAGTTGCATAGGGCTCAGAATGACAGGTTTTGACCTACTATTAAGTTAAGTTTCCCAAAAAATCTTGAGACCTAATCATTAGTGCCAGCGTGAGCATGCGTGAGCTATCCTGCATCCTAAGTAGTAGTGTTCTTGTAGCTACTAGCGACCTCTCCCTTACTAGCTACCTCTACCTACTACTACCTCACCTCTAGCGGCCTACCCCCCTTTAAAAACCAATCTGAATTCCGAATTTCCGAGTTCTGGGGCTTGATTCGAAGTCATGTCTTTCTGCTCCGATTCCATTGCAGCCTTGCCAAGAGAGTCAACAAGCGGCTTGGACGTTGTGCAAACAGGAGCCTCCCAGCTTCATAAGTCCTGCCCGGTGCCCCAATGCCACGCGTTGTGAACAAAGAGGTTTGTGAGATGGTGTTTTCATTAGAGACAGTACTTGTGCGCTCTAAGCACAATATAACGTTTGTTATAGAATGTTTTAGAGTCAATAAGGAACGGGTAAGGTAAGAGTATAACAGCTGCATAATATGATATCATGCGAGCTATTGAAGTTTTTAACACCAATTGTGCGGGCTTTGCCAGGATGTTCGGGCAAGTCTTCCTGAGGAACTGCAGTCTCCAGAGCTGAGTGCAGTGTGGCCCTCAGTCAACCCTTGAGGACAGTAGCTCTCAGCAGTTGAAGGCAGATCACTACAACAAGCTGATATTCGGGTACCATTGGATTTGTGGGTTTTGAATATCTGGTTTCTTTGATGTCCCTTGGATTTGAACAATTGGTCCCCTAAAAGTCTAGGAACCAAAAAACCCTAGTGTGAGCGTGAGCATGCGTGAGCTATCCTGTGTCCTAGCTAGGAGCGAACTTCTCAGTCGCCTTAACTGATTACATAAGTGGGAGCGGGCTAAAGAAAACAGGTTTGGATTCCGGGTCTTAACATTTGGGTCGATTCTTGTCGATGGGGTGGCCAAGGGCTACTCTGTTCGACGTGAACAATTTGTTCGCCGGACTCGAAGCAAGGTGGAAGCACCTGGGGCCAGAGCCACAGAAAGAGATTGAAACCTGAAGAGTGAACAATTTGTGAGGGAGGTACTACTGAGCAATAACTACGGTTTCTTGACTCTGAAGGCCAGTTGAACAAGCCTTAAAGCTCACTCAATGTCCTAGCTGCATACTTCAATAATTGCTTTGGTTTGACCAACTCCGAGTAGAATAGTAGGTACAACAAAACTCCAGTTGTGAGTCAGATTTGTCTCGAGTCTCGTCCAATTGCTTTAAGTTTTCACCCAGACGGACATGATGTTGGAGGATCAACCGCCACCCAGGGACATTGTGTTGGATTACCATTGCTTTAAGTCTCACCCGCTCGTCAAACAGACGGTCGAGGTTGAGGAGCCGCAGAGTTTGGCCGAGACAGATCTTGTGAGTAGCTCAATGCATGTAATTACAAGTGCCTCGCTAGTAGTAACAAGTGCCTTACTAGTAGTAACAAGAAGCTAGTAGAAACAAGTGCCACG